GATACTTTTGATAAAATATAGAGAAACCGAACATATTATTCAAGAACTAAAAGAAAATCAAGTATACAAATTTTAAAACAATATCCAAATAATATAAGTTACTATTATCAAACAATCATCAACTAATATAAATTGCATAGTACTCCAATGACTAAACAAACTTCCATCAAAATTAAAATCCTACATTGAATTGGACATCCTTTGAAAATTTATTGCAACTTCTAATTCTGTCGGTTATAATTCGTAGAAATTTAGATGAAAAGTTTCGATCGGATCAACAACTATTTAATCAAAGTGAAAACAAAATAAAAATTTCGTATCTTAGAAATGAAATTATATATTGTAAATAAGTTTATTTAGGTGTAGATTTACTCAATATTCTAATTTGATTTGAGAATAAATTAATCAAAGAATTATAAAAAGAGATAATGAAAGAATCAGAGAGAAGGAAAGTGCTGGAGTCTAAAATGAAGAAGGAACCCGATTATTTCTTTAATAAAAGTGAATGAAGATTTAGTCATATATTTTATTTAAAAAAATAAAAAAAAATCCTATGAGAACCTTCCGGTTCCCATACTAGAACCAAGAACTTGTTAGTTCTTAATAATTTATCTCAAAATCAAATCGTTGTTTAAAAGATTCGGAACCGAACTGACCAATTCTAAACAGTTTCGATCCGATTCCACCTGTTCTAGAAACAACGCCCAATCTTGGAAGGAATGGAGGTTGTTAAACTTTAAAAAGTGTAATAAAAGAAACATAAATATATCAAAAATTTTTTTTTTTCAAATGTAGTGTCACTATAGCATGTATAAGTCATGGGATTTTTAATCATTTTATCTTAAATGATCCCTTCATTTTCTATTCCAAAACCTATGAAAAAATTATCCTCGTTTTGTGCACAAATCTCATATAAATATAGTTGAATGTATAATCATTTATGAAGAAATTGTGTAAAGTTTTCTAAGAAGGACGATGAATAACTAATTTTATAATTTATTTTTTAACTAAAACAATAATTTAGCGACTCTCTCTACCATATGCAGTGAAGACACTGTCAACGATGTACAAGTTTATATACCCAGCTCCATATTTGGGCATGAAAGCTATCAAATCCTTAAATATAATTATATAACTCGTGGCAATGATCAAGATGTTATTCAAATGAAAAAATTATTGTACTTACTCTTTAATTATAATATAAATTGCTATGCTAATAGTATTTAAGTAATCATTTGGAACATTTCCACCTCATTACTTAATTATAATATAAATATTTTGAATATTACTTTTTATTTGTTTTACTTCTGAGTTTAATCTAAAACTTTTATGAATGAATTAAGTTGTAAAATTCAGGGTTCCTTTGGGGGGTAGACACTTTTCATGAGAGGGATGAACTCATTTTCTTTTAATTATTGCGTAATTAATGGGAGGTTCCAAAAGAATAATCCTGTAAATTGACCAATTGGAGCGATAGCCGGCATTGACCATTGAAATTTCATGCAATAAATATTTTTATTTTTTATTCACTTGTAAATGGTAATTAATTGTTGGTCAAGGACAGTGGTACATTACATATCAT